AGTTGCATCAGCCATTTGTTTGCTTCCAGAGTGCTGGAGTAGCAGCCATGAGCCAACAGACACAGCCATAGGAACTGCTGGGTGACAGCCTCAGGTCATGAGAACTGAGTCAGGATGTAGTGGGCAACAGCCCCTAGCCATGAAGAATGACTTAGCCCCAGCCTGACCATTTCATTCCACTGGCAGAAGCAATATGTATGCCCAGGTATCAAAAACAACCCACCCTGCTTCTAGTCAGACCACAAAAGAATAGCTGTAGTTTCATGTTTGCTACGTGTGTGTGTGTGTGTGTGTGTACATGTCCCCTAGCCCTTCTACACATGTTCAAACTTCATCTCGCAGAAACATTGAGGCCCTTCACTATCCCAATAAAACAGTCTCAGCCCGTTGAGATCCAGTCTTTCTGCTTCTTTGCCTCCCTCCCACCTCTTGTTTTCTTTCCTTTTAATTTTTTTTATTTTATGTGTATGGTTGTTTTACCTGCATGTATGTCTATGAACCACATACATGCAGTACCCTTGGAGGCTAGAAGAGGGCATTCGATCCCCCATGATTGGTGATACAGATGGTTGTTAACCATCATGTGGATACTGGGAATTGAACTCAGGGTCTCTGCAAGAGCAATAAGTGATCTTAACTCCTGAGCCAACTCTCCAGCCTCTTTTTATTGTTTTGTCGAGATAGGGTTTCTTGTGTAGCAGCCCTGGCTGTCCTGGAACTCACTATGTAGACCAGGCTGCCTCAGACTCACAAAGATCAATCTGTTTCTGCCTCCCAAGTGCTTGGATTAAAGGGTGCATCATCTGTGCCTTATTTTTCTTATAGGAACTTGTGTGTGTGTGTGTGTGTGTGTGTGTGTGTATGCTTTTATTTGGTTACAGGTTTTTTTGGGGGGTGATGTATTTTGTTTTCTAGGTTTTGGGGATTTGGTTGTATTGGATTTTTGGGTTGTTTTTGAGAAAGAACTTAGAGTTGGGTCGGTAAGGAGAAAGAGAGAATCTGGGAAGACTTGGAGGAGGGAAAGAATATGAACAAAGTATTTTTAAATTTATAAATTGTTTTAAATAATAAAAATATAAAAGAATTATTTTTACTTTTAGTGTGTGTGTGTGCACATACCCACACGTGTGTGTGCAGATGCTTACAGAGGCCAGAGGCATTGAATCACCCTGGAGTTGGAGTTACATGAATTAACAGGGTCTCACTATATGGATCCGACTGACTTAAAACTAACTATGCATACCAGGCTGACCTTGGACTCACAAAAATCCATTTAGTTCTGCCTATCTAGTGCTGGGATTAAAGGTTTGAGTTACCAAGTCTAGCTAGAGTTAATTACTGAGCTATCTCTCTGGCCCAAATTCTTTTTTGTTTTGTTTAAATAAGTTGTCCTCTGGGTATCAAATCCAAGCGACTCTACCCCCCCCCAGCATTCTTGCAGGATCTTTCAGTGATATCTGTGCCCTGAGCCCCAAGCCCTGGGACAGTCACCTCAGTTGTACTCAACCATTATGTATTGAATAGCTTGATATAAGAAAGCATGGATAATACCATGCTATTCCAGAGCTCTATACAGGGACTTTCTTTATAAGGCATTTTACTTTCTCTTGTGTCTGTGTCATCCCTGAGCACAGTGAAGTTGGGTAATCCTTTGGAAGACCATAGGCAAGAAAACCAAACTGGCAGCATGTATCTGTGGTGTCCTGAATAAGAATAGACCCCATAGTCTTATATTTGAATGCTAAGGGAGTAGAGTTAGGAGGTGTGGTCTTCTAGGAGGAAGTGTGTCACTGGGGGTGGGATTTGGGGTTTCAAATGCCCAATCCAGGCCCAGAGGTGTTTTCTCTCTTCCTGCTGCCCGTGGATGCAGATGTAGAGCTCTCAAGCTCCTTCTCCAGCACAATGTCTGCCTGTGCACTGCCATGTTTCCCGCCAGGATGATAACGAACTAAACCTCAGGAACAGTAAATCAGCCCCCATTCAATGTTTTCCTTCGTAAGAGTTGCTGAGGTCATGGTGTCTTTTTACAGCAATGGAACACTGATTAAGACAGCATCACTAGTAAATGTCATATTGAGATTAAAGCACAAGTTTCACACCTTTTCACCCATCCACTGTTCTCTGGGTGACTCTTGCCACTGCCCTTTGGGCTGGGACTCTGTAAACCCTCTGTAGTGCCTGCTTAACCCCTAGCATCTCACTGACTCTGAGCCAGGGATCCAGCAGATTTGTTGAAAAGTAAAAGGTGAGGCTGGAAATATAGGGAAGCAGTTTCATGAAGTTTTTATGGCTTTACAGAACCAAGAAAGTCAAACGAGGCAAATTTAAAATACTTTGGTGGGTATGCCAGAGAGGCAGTGATCAGTCAGCCTGCCTCCATTTTAGACTTGAAAGCCACCTTAGTAAAGACAAACTATACTACTCATCTCTCTCTCCTTTTTTTTCTTTTTTTTGACAGGGCTTCTCTGTATAACAGCCCTGGCTCCCTCACCCCCACCTTTACTACTATAAAAACCCAATTCTAACTGAGCTCAGGGCTCTCCTTTTATTCTAATATGTTAGACATGTGGAGAGACCGAGTTTGCAAACTTGATTAAAATAAAGGCTCTTTGCTTTTACATACGGGACTCAGTCTCCTTGTTGGCTTTTGTGGAGACTTCGCGGATTTGGGCATAACAGTTATGACCACCTTACAATCATGTTTTTGTTTCAGGAAGTTGTTGTGACCAACTTCTTATACTTAGTTCTGCTCCTGTAACCCCACCTATTTGCCTGCCAAACCCCTCATTTGAAAACCCTCTATCCCTACGCTATAAAAGTCCTTATCTTTTCTAAGTCCGAGGCTGACCTCTTGAACCCTGCCTTGGGGGACAAAGCCCCTTGTAATACCCAGCAACCATCTTTGGAAGCTCCCCCCCCTGGGAGTTGCCTTGCTCCAAACTCTACCTCTGGGAAAGTCTGGCCAAGCACTGGGTCAGGACCACTCCCACAGGTTCTTTAGGCTGCTGCCCAAAAAAAGGAACATGTGGTTTTTGAGTTTTGCATGGTCCCCCCCATGCTCTCCTGGCCACCAGGGAGCGCTGCAGTAAGCATGGGCATCTTTTATTTGGTCTGATTGGAATTATTTGCTTTGGAGAGGCTCATCTTATGATTATTCCCAACACCCCTGTACACAATTTTTTTTTAAAAGCTGGTTTTAATTAATTTGGTCATGATGATTTTGGTTGGTGGTCTTTCTCCTCAAATCTTTGGGATTAACAAGTCATAGCCCCAAGATGCTATCTGATGACATTCTTAGTTCGTGGATCTGTGGAAGCTAAGTTAATAGCTTCTAAGGTTTTTATTTATTGCCACAAGATGTTAATTCTAAATTAATAGCTTTTAAGAGGTTTTTGTTTATTATCATGAGATGCTAGTTCACATAAAGAATGGGGGTTCTGGAATGCAAAAACTAACCAATGATAAAGTAATTTGCCTTTGAATCTGCAGAATTCTAATCTCTCCACAGTACTGAGTTGGTTTGGTGACGAACTTCCCATGAGTCCAAGGTCCTCATAAATATAATAGAGCAGTTCCTGGTCTTGGCCTGAGTTTCCCACTTGCCCACCCATTCCTGTCGGTAGTAAGCTATCCAATCTGGAAGGAGCTGTGCCTGCAGGGGTGCGTGTGTGTGTGTGTGTGTGTGTGTGTGTGTGTGTGTGTGTGCGCGCGCGCGCGCGCGAAAGAGAGAGAGAGAGAGAGAGAGAGAGAGAGAGAGAGAGAGAGAGAGAGGGAGAGAGAGAGAGAGGAGATAGCGTGGCCATACGTGGTGATGACAGCCCCAGAGAGCTGACTGACTGGTCTGTGTGGCAGTAGCCAGGAGGTCCCACCCCTCTTTGCAGCCAAGCACCTGCCTGCTACTAGGGCTCCTTCCTGCTCCTAGTGTTCATTGGGCTCCAGAAATACAAATGACTAATGACGTATTTGCAAGTCAAAAGTCGGCACTGAAAGAAGCACACACCAGGTGGGGAGAATACTGTGTAGTCCTTAGGAAGAACCTGACTGATCCAGGGGCGCCCACTGAAGACTCCACAAGATACAGAGAGGAAAAAACTATTGCAATCCGGTTTTATAAACAACCCGTTTACTTAAGCATGCTAAGCAATGCACACATAGATGGTGCTGGACAGACATTTGGAAGGAGGTGCCTAAATGTGAGATGGGGATAAATAAAAAAGAGGACTCTCAATTTTTATCATTTAAATTTCTTACACAATCATGTTTTTATTACACGACCTTTCTCTAATAACAAACAAACAAAAACCAAAATAACCCCAAACACTACTTATAGAATACTTTTAGATTTATAGAAAAGATTAGGAAGATGAGACATGGAGTTACCATAAATAGGGTTTTCTCCTGTCGTTAACATACTAGTATTTTTGATATAATGAATGAACCAATACTGATGTATTGTTATTAAAATGTTCAAATGTCTTTTTTTTTTAACCTAAAATACCCCCCGCCCCAGGATCCCATTCAAGATGTCACATTGTTTAGTTTTTATATCTTGATGGGACAGCTTCTCAGGCTTCCCTTGTTTTGATGACCTTGACAGTTTTGGACAGTCGTGAATTCCTCAAGTGGAGCTTGTCTGACGTTTTTGCACGATTACACTGAATCATGTGTCATTGAGAGGAAGACACCATACGACAGAAAATCACTGTTGATGTTGGCCCTGATCTCCCGGCTGAGGCAGTTGGTAATGTTTTCCATTATGAAGTTTCTCCAACAGTACACGTGGTGTGACCTCTTAAAGTTTTCTTCACTGTCAGATGTCTATAAGCATACAGCCGGATGAATGTCTCACTCTCTAGGGATCTAGAGCGCCTCTGCACAGCGAGCAGGCGCTGGGTTTCCTTTTGAGCCCGGCTGGAGCGCAGACCGCAGACCTCACCTGTGGGCGTGGTCCCACGTACCCCGCCCCTCCAGAGAGGCCCCTCCTCTCCCACGTGGCTCCGCCCCGGTGCGCTTAAGGCGACCGCGCCCGTAGAGTTTTCCGCCCCGCGGGCTCCTCCAGTGGTTCGCAGTCGGTCGCGGGTCGGTATCCGGAAAAGGAAAAGCGACAGTGGGAAGGAGCTCCAAGTAGAACTCAGCGCCCAGGTCCCCGGTGACAGGTGAGTGAGGGTCCCAGCTGGCTGCCTGCGCGTGTTGAGTGTTCGCGCTCGGTGCGGAGTGCGAGGGTCGCCTGAGGCCAGGGCCCGGAGTTGGGCAGAGTCAGAGCAGGTGAGCCTGGGGACCTCAGCGGGCTTGAGGGTGGTTGTAGTCTCCTCAGTTCGGTGCTCTTCCGGGAGAAGCTTTAGCCGAGCCTAGCCGGCCGAGAAGGCTGTCTTTGGGAACTTTGCTCCGGAACTGCAGAGCGCGGGTTCCTGGACCTGCCACCCGGGGTTTATATAAGGCAGGTTTTCAAGCGGTCCGGAGAATGAGGGATCGTGCTAGGTGCTCTGTTGCCTGCCTTCCTTATCGTTTATCCAGCTAGAATCCCTGCGCCCCCGCTTGCGCCCCCGTTCCAGAGTCCCGAGGAACTCTTGGGGTTGGTTCTCCACTTCCCGTGGGCTCAGGCGTAACTAGGTAGCAAACAGATGTGGGGGAGGGATAGCTAAATTCAAGCTAGGCACATTCTTTCTGGGGATTTCAATCCCTGCCCGATAGTCAGTGGGCGTCTGTGGAGGTTGTGTTTCTCGGACCGAACCTCGGGATTGTCAGCCTAAATCGTCTACTTCCTTCATAGGCCTCCACTAACTGCTCCCTGCTGCCTTGCCCTGCCCTCTGGCTCAGTAGGGACTTTCGGAGCAGGCGTGCCCTGGGGCTACATTAGTGAGGGAAGAAAGTTAGGAAAAAAAGCCCTAACCAAAATCAATTTTTTTTTTTTAAACTGGATTGAGCTTTCCTCAGGTGTAAATTTACAAGATGACAGTGTGTCGTTGTCAAAAGGTTGGACAAGCCTGGAGCCTCATAGGGCAGGGCCAACTAACTGCCTTGCTCACCCTCAGCTTGCTCCCTTTGTGCTTTATTTCCTTGCTTCTGTTGTTGAGAATTCCAGGAGGATTAACAACAGGGCCGTTCCTTCGGTGCTTCTCTAACCAGGCCAAGTGAGCTGTGGGCAGTCAGTCTGTGTAACACAGGGGTGCCCACTTTGGATTCTTCCATCCCTCCCCATCCGTCATTAATCTCCGCACCTTGATTTCCTCATCCATAAAATAAGGATAATTATAATTCATGTGTCATTGACTTATTGTGAGGATTCAGCCAGTTAATTTTTTGTTGTTGATTTTTTTTTTTTTTTTTTTTGCCTTTTGAAATAAGGTCTCCCTATGTAGCTTTGGCTGGTTTCAAACTCAGATCTTGCCTCTGCCTCTTGAGTGCTGAGCTTAAGTGTGTGTGCTACCTTGCCCAGCAAGCTAATGTTTTAAATTTTTTTATTTATTATTTGTTTTGGTCTTTAGAGACAGGGTTTCTCTGTGTAGCTTTGCAGTCTGTCCTGGAACTCGCTCTGTAGACCAGGCTGACCTCGAACTCACAGAGATCCACCTGTCTCTGTTTCCATGTGCTGGGATTAAAGGCATGTGGCACCTCTGTCGGGCTTACATTTTTTTTTTAGCAAATATTTTATTTTGTTTTATGTGTATGTTTTTTTTTTCCCTGCATGTATGTCTGAACCATGTGGATGTCTAGTGCCCTTGGTACCCTTGGAGGTCAGAAGAGGGCCTTGGATATCCTTGAACTGGAGTTCAGACAGTCATGAGCTGCCACATGGGTACACAATTGCTCTTAACTGCGGAGCCATCATTCTAGCCCCTTGAGGTTTGTTTGATTTTTGTTTTGTTTGTTTCTTACTTTTTTTTTTTTTTTTTTTTAAAGATAGGTTCTTTCTGTGTAGGTCTGACTGTCCTGAACTTGCTCTGTAGACCAGGCTGACCTGGAACTCAGAGATCCACCTGCCTCTGCCTCTTGAGTGCTGGGATTAAAGGCTCATGCCACCACTGCCCAGCACGTTAATTTTTTTTTTAAACAGTTCTACAATGCTCAGGTACTGACCATTAGAACAGGTCACAACTGGTGCATCCCAGTTGGATGGTGCTCAGGTTAGGCATGGCACACACTAGGCAAGGTCTGGCATGTTAGTGATCAAATGCAGCCAGTGACAGCAAGAGCAGAGGTGTAGCCAGCTTGAACTGCCCTGTCTCGGCCCACACTGCTCTGCCATCTTTCCTCTCTTTTGCCCATTTCTTACTCACGTGCCATTCCAATGGCTTCTGCTTCCTAGTAGGAGGGGCAAGGCATGGGTTCTTTCCTTCACTCTGTCATTGGATTCAAGGAATTTGTGACCAGGTGTCTTGTCCCTGTGCTGCTCCCAGTCTTTGGAGCACAGAGACTATTTCTGGATTACCTCTTGGTCTTTCAGAGTGCCTATGATGAGCCTTCCCTTTGAAACGTTCAGGAAATTTCAACTGGGGGAGAGGCAGGCAAGAAAGTAATGTCTTTGTGGCCTGAGTATTGGAGCTGTAGGATGGGCAGAGAATGGGGGGAAGTGAAGGAGAAATGCATCCAGGCTGAGGGGGACGAAGAGAGGCTGAAAGACCTGGGTGTGGAGTTTCACACCTGTAATCCCAGAACTCAGGAGATCGCGGCAGGAAGACCAGGAGTTCAGAGCCAGTTTCAGATACAGAATGAATTTGGGGCTAGAGAGATGTTTCCGTAAGTGGAAAGCTGGTGTGCACTCCCCTACCCCAGTGCACACATGCACACAAAATTAGGAAATGTAATTACCCCTGAGCATCCTCCTGGGGATGCATAGTGAATTTGAGTGCAGCCTGGTTACATGAGACCGTGGCTAAGGCATCTGCCACTGAGCCTTCCAATTTGAGTTTGATCTTGTGTTTTCACATAGTAGAAAGGGGGAACTGACTCCTCTAAGTTGTGGCTTACCTATACCTGTGCACACACAGACACACAAACAGATAGAATTGAAACATTTGTTTAAAACAAAAACAAGCAAGTCAGCTGTTTGAGCTCTTTTTGTAGCCATGACAGGGAAAAGAGAAAGGGCCATCTCAGTTCAGTTGCTTCAAAGGGTTTGATTGATCAGTGATTGCTTGGGTGTTGTGACCCAGGAAGGTAGTTTGGGATGACAGGAAAAGGAACTCTCCAGGGGAAGACAGAAGAGAAACCCAGGCTGGGTGGGACTGCATGCTTGTTCCCAGAAGGCCTGAGGCTTTCTCTTCTTCCCTTCCTGGTTGTTTTTCTCCCTCTTGAATCCGAAGCAGTTTGAAGCAATTCGTGGCACTTGATCCCATGACATGGGAGTGTCTGGGTGTGGCTGTTCACGAACCCACTGTCCCTCTAGACCATCGGGATTTTGAGTGGTGCCCAGATAGGACAGCTCTGAAGATCCGTGAGATCTAGGTTTCCCTGGTGGGAGTTGGCATTTGTAAGAATTTTTGAGCTTTGGAATGAAACCTGTTAACCTCTAAATTAGCCCACATCAGACATGTTGGTGTAACTCATGAAATAAAGGTCCCAGGGTCATGGGGAGAAGACTGGCTGTACAGTGGAGTGGTCAGCTTCTGATGATCCTGCCTACACTGATGTGAGAAAGGATAGGGTGAGGACAGCTGAACAATTAGGGGACAGGGGCTGGAGAGTTGGTTCAGTGGTTAAGAGTAGGTATTAGGGGGTGGAGAGATGGCTCAGCAGTTAAGAGCACTGACTGCTCTTCCAGAGGATCCACATGGCAGCTCACCACTGTCTGTAGTCCAGCTCATGGGGATTTGACACCCTCATACAGACAGGAATGCAGGCAAAACACCAGTGTGCATAAGATAAAAATAAGTAAATCACTTAAAAAACCAGATATTAGTTGTTTTTCTATTGCTGGGGAGAAAAGCCACACTTAAAGTGATTTATAAAAAAGCGTTTATGTTTTCTGAGTGTTAGAGTTATAATGGTACAGCAAAGTCAAACAGCAGCAGAATCAGTTTACTGCTCACATCTCAGTCTTCTGACCTACAAGTAGGAAGCGAGAGAACTAACTCAGAATGATGTTGAACCCTCAGAGCCTGCCCCTTGTGACGTATTTCCTCCAGCAGGGCCACACCTAATCCTTCTGAACAACCAACTGGAAGCCAGCTATTCAAACATGAGCCTATGGGGACAGTTCTCTATTCAAACCAGGTCCCAGGTTTGATCTCCAGCACCCACATGGCCACTCACAGCCATCTATGACATATAGGGAATCTGATGTCCTCTTCCCACTTTGGCGGGCACCAGTCATGTTAGTGTGAACATACATAGATGCAGGCACAGCACCCGTGCGTGTAAGGTAATAGAAAAGAATTAGAGGATTGGAAGGCAGGTCTTATCTGCCGGCTAACCGGGAATGAGCCATGTAGCCACATGTCCCAGTTTTCTGGCTGGCAAATGGTTGCCTCCAACAGAGAGTCAGATGACAAGATGTTTGTGGAAGGGTTTGCAGATGGGCGAGAGTGGTGATGGTCTTGTTGATATTGTGGACTTGCCACCATGTCTCCGAGGAACCAGGAAGCTGAAAGTGAAGCGTGCCGCAGTCAAGGCTGGCTCTTTGATCATTAGTGGTAGTTGTTTTTTGATTGTGCTCTTGAAGGTCCCACTGTCTTGGCAGCAAAGAAGACATTTGAGGGGCTCAGGGACCTGAGCCCACCGGCGGAGGCTGGCTTGCAAGACAGAGGGATGAGAATTCAGGGTGGGCGTAGAGAAGAAACTAGAAACTCTTTACAGGGAGATCAGGCAAGCAGGCACATGAAGCCTGGTGTGGGAAGCATTTTGGGGGGGAAAGGGATGTGTAAGGGGGGCAGGGCTAGCGTTAAGGGACGAGAGCTTGCTGCGTCCACCACAAAGGGCACAGTTATTTTTAGGAATTAGGTGACAAGGCATGTTTCTGTTGAAATCTTTACTGAGTCCCCACTGCTTGTCCAGCCAGTTCGTTAATAAAAGAATTTAGGAAGGGACTTGGAAGGGTGCTCAAGGACATCCTTATTAGAGCTGGAAAGAAAAACAACAGATCAGGAAAACTGAATTTCAGTAGTTGCTAGGAGGAAGGGATGGAGATGAGGAAGAGAGAAGTCATGCTTTTAAGAAA